ATATAGCTTTTACATTATGTTAGATACTAGATATAATCTAGAGATAATTTAAAGTGTATACAGGAGGATGTGTTTGTGTTATATGCAAGTATCACACCCGGTTGTATAAGGGTTATATAAACATCTGTAGACGTGGACAACAAACCCTTGCAGAAACTAAAGGACACTTGTATAGTCCATTCCATGTTAATACATGGTGATAAACATCCTGAAATTTCACTTTTCATCCTCCTTACTTGCCCCTTATTTGACTATATACTTTTGGCAAAAAGCTACAGACTGAATAAAGAAAATTATCCAGATTCCTATGGAGAACTAAAAAAGCTTTTATTTGTTCATTTATTTATTTATTTTGGGTTTTTTTTTGAGACAGCGTCTCACTATGTATTTGAGACTGAGCTGGAATTCACTATGTAGCTCAGGCTGGTCTCAAAATGACAGTGATTCTCCTGTCTTTGCCTCCCAAGTGCTGGGATTACAAGTGTGAACCACCCTGCCCAGCAAAAAGCTTTTATTTTTAAGTACCTTTCTGTTGCCACTTTTTAAACCTAACAGTTATTAACTTGCTCAAAAATAGCTACTTATCACTATGCTAAAGAAGGGCGTAAAGATGGTGGTTAACAGTGAGGGCTTTGTAGTCAAACTTCCTTTTCTATTCCAGTTCTCCAAGTAGTGGCTAACTGGATAATCTCAGGCAGGGTATCTAGCTTTCTTCACTTTTTTCTAAAATAAGACATCCTCATAGAATTATGTTTGTTTCCCTGGTACTAGGGATCAAACTCAGGACCTTGATCTTGCAAGGCAGGCTCCACATCACTGAGCTAAATCCTGGGCCCCCTCATAGAATTGTTAAGAAGAAATCTTGTTGGGCATGGTGATGCACACCAATAATCCCAGCTACTGGGGAGGCTGAAGCTAGAGGATCACGAGTTCAAGGCCCACCTGGGCAATTTAATGAGCCTGTGTAGCTCCACTGTGGATCACACCTGGGTCTAATCTCCAGTACTGAAGAACAAGGAAAAGACAAAGGAGAAAGAGTTATTATGATCTTCTTTATAGTGTGTAGATCAGCACCTTGCAGAGCACGTTTAGAAGAGATAAGGACATGAAGTGGGTGTGTAGAGGTAGGTGGCAGAGCAAATGCAGACCCTAGATTAAATAGGGGGAGATAGAGAGGGAAAGAGGAGAGGGAGAGAGAATGATAATAAATCATGCAGCAGACTGATTGAACAGCTTTTCTCTACAGACAGCATACTATGGGGCTGGGTATATTTACTGTCATTCTTCCCCTACTGTCAAGGAATTTAGTTGGATAGGAAAGACAGATAAATAAAATAATAGTGACAATAATTGTAATATCAACAATTGATCCCATTTACTGACCACCTGCCATGTTTCAATATATTTTTTCTGCTTATATCAAATACTCAGAACTTTATAAACTGCATTTTGTTTGCAAATGAGGAAACCAAGACTCTGAGATCAATAATTTGCCCAATATTACATGCCTAATATTAGATGTAGGATTTGATCCCAAATCTGCCTGACTTCAAAGTCTTCCTTAACCCTTTCATCAGGTGGTGACAATAGCTGTCGAAGGTCTCTGTCTGACAAGGTTATAGAAGACCTATATATGTGACACTGTAATAGCTTGGTGAGCCTAGGTGATTTCAGTGTTTCCTTAATGTCCCGGACAGACTCAAGTTCTTATTTTTCCTCAGTTACATACAGAAAAGGGAAGTAAAAAGCTGCTTAGTACCATTCTTTTTTGTGAGTGAACAGAAAGCTTTCTTTGTTCTAGCTTTGTAAAGCCAAGTTTGAAACTGGACTCCACAGATACAGCCAGGCTTTCCTAGCTCCTGCTCCCTTGCTGTGAAGTGCACCAATGAGAGAGCCCAACTCCACCATGGCCAGGCTGCCTTCAGGATGGCCCTGTACCTTGGCCACTCTTCTCAGGTCATTTAGCTGGGATGTGGGAGGTTAAGAATGAAGTAGTTGTATAAGACATTGAGACATTGAGAGTTTACAGTGGCATTAGACAAGTATCTTCAACTTACATATCCCAAGACTCATCCAGTGGTTATGGTTTAAAGTTTAGCCATTATTGTACCTATTTTAGGATCTCCAAACATCCCAGAGCTTCTTGTGCTTTTCCTAGTAAGTAAATTAACCTTTCCCTCTTTAAACCAGATTAAGACATATAGTGCTTGACTCATTTGGGAGTGTGATTTTTTAGAAAACAGAAACCTATACCTCTGTGTGTACATGTGGTTTATAAGGTGAGAGGACTGGCCAGCCAGTCAGAGGTTGAGGAGAGAAGCTAAGGTCTTTGTGACACTCGTTTTGGAAAATGGTGTGTAAGATGGAATTGAGGTTACGTGATGAAGTGACAGTCACACACACACGTCTGTCTCAGGGGCAACTCTCTCTCCTACTCCACAGTGTTGTTTACCAGCATTAGACTGTAGCTAAAGCCCTTTACCCAGATGCCCCCTCTTTTATCTCAGAACCCTTAAGCTCCCACTACACTTTTTCTAGCTCTCCTATGTATTTTCTCAGGACCATTATCTCTGAAAGGCAGCTGTTGGTGATAATATTTCAGAGGAATGTTGACATCTCTTGTCTGTGCTCCAGGCATTTTACGTTCTTAATCTCATTTAATCCTGGCAGCATCCTATCTTGGTAGGTGGATTATGCACACAGGGAGAGATATGGAAGCTAAGGAAGTTAAATCACTTTCCTAGGAGACTTGAAGCTAGAAGTGGCAAAACTGAAAGTCAACTCTCGTTCTCCCTTGTTTCACTGTTGTACTCTTCCTGGAAGCTTCATGCCTCCAATTTCTATGTCAGCAAGAAGAGGGATTATTTGGCCTGGGCTAGTGATATGTGCATAGTCTAATTATGTGAACGAGTATACATTTACCTTAACACACTGACCCTCACAGTAACTGGCTGATTAGGTATGTGTACTATTGCCACTTTACAGATGGAGAAACTAAGGCTCACCAAGACTGAACCAGAGTACCACAGCCAGTCAGTCTGGCAATGGAGACTGAACCTGGTCCCCTTTGAGTCATCTCTTAAAGCTCCCCAGATGTGTATCACTGCACCAGCTAGATGTGAGCTGATCCTGCCAGACATCTCAAGGCAGTATATAACAATGTAAGACAGTAGGGGAATAATTTACAAACCAATAGGAATGTTTTCCTTCAGCAAGAATAAAAAACTGGCAAGCAGAAGCTCCCAAGTTTGATCCCCAGTACCAAAAATAAAAATAAATAAAAAACTGTATAAAGGCTTAGCAGAAGACTAAATTGAATTTATACCAGAGCTCATTGAAATTTTGTGCATATTGAAGGCATTTGAGTACAGTGTTTTCCGAGTGCATTCTGTGTATCTAAACTGTGAATGCAGTATGACTAAGAATATAAGGGAGAGGCTGTTAACTGTTTGGAGGGTGTAGTGCCACTGTATTCCATAAATGAGTGAATAAGTGACAACAGTGATAGGTGGTCCATGGGTAGGCCATATTGCCCTTACATGATAATGAACTATTCAGAAGAGCCTCTGCTGAAAATGTATGGGACGTCACTTAGAGAATTATTACTTGGTAAAGTCTGTACTCATTTGCCTTAAAAGACTGTATATGAAACAGGATTGGTGGTACATTCCTGGAATCCCAGCACTTTGGGAGGCTGAAGCAGGAGGATCACAGTTGGAGGCCAACGTGGGCAACTTAGCAACTTACCATTACTGTTTTGATAAAGGGCTGGAGGTACAGCTCAATGCAAAGACCCTAGGTTCAATTCCTAGTACTGGGGGAAAACAAAAGGCTGAGAGGCTCTAGGACAGCAGAGCACTCAAAGGTACAAGAACTGCATGAACCTGGCAGCGGATTCTTCCCTTAGCTTCCTAGCTCCTCCTCTATTCCAGTCCCTGGGCCCAAGCCAGCCTCACCACGTTTTCACGACTTACTCTGCTTTTTCCAGTTCAGTAAGTGCAGGGCTAATGCTAACTGCTTCTTTGGCCCTTCATTTCTTTCATGAGGGCTCCCAGGCTAGGCGATACTTACGTTAAGTGGATCTGTATATTTTTGACTAATCTACCTCATGGGAAGTCTTATTCTAGAGCCAACGGGACTGTAAGAGAATGGATGTAGTTGCTCCTACAGCCTCTACATAAAGCCCATCTGACCTACACCGTGGTTAGCATAAAATGGTGGAGACCTGGCTGACACCTGATCCAAGAGCTTTGAGCTAAGCAATGGATTACCTTATGCTGTACTGATGGTCATTTTTACACAGCAATGGACAAACAACACAGTCCACAGAGACAGCATGTGTAAATAG